TTAATTTAATTAATATTTATAACTTTAATAAAACTAGCTTTATAATAGATATAATTATAAGTAGAATAATTATTATAAGTATAAATAAATATAGAAACTTAAAATTAATTTAATTTAAAAACTAAAAATAAATTATAATTATTTAGATAATTAATATAGAAAACTAGATAATCTAGCTATTTATTATAATTATATATTAATATTATTTTACTAGCTGGTATTAAAAAAGTAACTTCTTAGATAATTAAGCTATTTTAATAACTTAAAATAGCTAGATTAATAATAAGATAAGTCTTAAATAGCTTAAGTACTTTAATTAATATATAAAGAATTAATTAATTAATTACTATTATCTTCTAATTTTTAATAAATATAAAAGTTACTACTTTATTAACTTTAAAAAATATTATAAAGAGAATTATATTATTATATTTTATATACTATCTTATTTATCTTATTTACTTTAGCTTTTTAATATTAAATACTTTAGGCTACTTAAAATAGCTTATAATTAAATAATTAAGTAATTAATTAAATATTTTATAATTTATATTTTAAAGACTAAATTCTTTTTAATATTTTATACTACTTATAAAGCCTCTATAATAAGAAGTAATATTAAGAGAGGTTTTTAAGAAGCTAAACTTATTTTCTTAAATTTAAAAAATATTATATTAAAGCTTAATATATAGCTATAAACTTTAATATTAATAAAAAGAAAATTAATCTTTCTAACTCTTAAATCTTAAAAACCCTAAAAATTATATTTAAGGCTAGCTTCTAGTTTAAATATCTTAAAAAATAAATAAGAAGATATTAAAATAACTCTTTAATATTAATTTTTAAGATATTTAAGTTACTTTTAAAGAAAATAAAAATAATAATATATTAGAATACTCTATTAAAGTCTAAGATTTAGATTCTTTAATAAGTAAATAAAACTCTTAGTAAATAGTATAAAATAAAAAGAACCTACTTATATAAAAAAGAAAAGATAATTCTATATAAAAAGAGAGATAAAATAGATTAGAAAGATATTAATATATAGATAGTAGCTAAATTATTAAGAAGTAGTAATTAATAAAAGTTAGTAATTTTAAGAAAAAGATACTATAAAACTTATAGAAAAGCTAGTTATAATATAAGAATCTATTAGATTATAATTAAAACTTCTAAAAAAGAAAATAGTAATTAATTTTAATTAATTTAAGGTATTATTATATTTTTATTTAAGTTTTTATCTTAATAATATAGGATTTTTTCTAACTTACTTATATTTCTAACTTACTTATTATATATATTATATATATAAAAGCTAGGGGTTATAGATACTTAATTAGTTAATATATACTATTTAATTTATCTTAATAGAAATTATATAGAAGTAAGTATATTAATATATTAAAAACAGAATATATTTTATATTTTATTCTTATTTTTATTTAAAATTTATAAAAAGTTAAAATAAAATTTATTTCTAGAAGAGATAAATTTAATAGAAGTTATAAAATATAATTAGACTAAAAGTAAAAACAGAGCCTATTTCTATATATAATACTTAAGTAAGTTAATATACTTAATAAGTATATACTATATCTAAGTATATACTGTACTTTTCCCTTAAATATATAACTCTTTATATTATTAATTTAATTTTAACTATAAAATATACTATAGTAAAATACTAAAGCTAAAATCCTTCTTACTCTTTAAGCTCTTTAAAATAACTTAAAATTAAGTATTTAATATACTATATTAATATATAAAATAGATAAGTAAAGGCTATATTACCGATAAAATAGTATTTAATCTTAATATAATTAGATCCCCTAATTATATTAACTAATTAATCTAGAGGAGCAGATTATTATTTAATTTATTCTTAACTTAAATTTATAAGAATTTCTCCTATAACTATATAGTATTAAAGAAATAGCTAATTAACTACTTACTAACTATAATATATTACCTATCAGTAAGTACTAGGCTTTAAATTTTATTAGGCAATATCTAGAACTTAAAATATTTTTTTTTTATAAATATAACTATTAGAGGGCTAAATATAAAGATCTAATAATTATTTATACTTAATTTAGGCTTGTAGAGAATATAATTATAAAATATAATATCAACCTTACTAATATTTATAATTTTAATAAAACTAGCTTTATAATAGGCTTTATTATAAGCAGAATAGTTATTATAGATATAAATAGATATAGAAATCTAAAATTAATCTAGTCTAAAAACTGAAAATAAGTTATAGTTATTTAGGTAATTAATATAAAAAGCTGGGCAATTTAGCTATTTATTATAGTTACAGGCTAATATTACCTTACTAGCTAGTACTGAAAAAGTAACCTCCTAGGTAATTAGGCTATTATAATAACTTAAAATAGCTGGACTGATAATAAGATAGATCTTAAATAGCTTAAGTATTTTAACTAATATATAAAGAATTAATTAACTAGTTACTATTATCTTCTAATTCTTAATAGGCATAAAAATTACTACTCTATTAACTTTAAGAAATATTATAAAAAGAATCAGATTATTATATTTTATATACTGCTTTATTTATCTTATTTATTTTAGCCTCTTAATATTAAGTACTTTAAGCTACTTAAAATAGCCTATAATTAAGTAATTAAGTAATTAATTAGATACTTTATAACCTATATTTTAAAAACTAAATTCTTTCCAGCCTTCTATATTACTTATATAGCTACTATAATAAAAAGTAATATTAAAGAAGGTTTTTAAGAAGCTAGACTTATTCCCTTAAATCTAGAAAATATTATATTAAAGTTTAATATATAGCTATAGACTCTAATACTAGCTACTAAAAAAATCAGCCTCCCTAACTCTTAAGTTTTAAAAACTCTAAAAATAATACTTAAGATTAATTTACAGTCTAAATACCTTAAAAAACAAGTTAAAAGATATTAAAGCAGCTCTTTAATATCTATTCTTAAAGTACTTAAGTTATTTTCTAAGAAAATAAAAATAATAATATATTAAATAGTATTATTAAAGTCTAAAAATTAGATCCTTTAATAGGCAAATAAGACTCTTAGCAAGCAGTATAAAGCAAAAAGAACCCGCCTATAAAATAGAGGGAAGATAACTATAGAGGAGGGAAGGAAAGTAATTAATTAAATAGATATTAATATATAGATATAAGCTAAATCATCAAAAAGTAGTAGTTAAGAAGGGTTAGTATAACTAAAAAAAAGATACTATAGAACTTATAGAAAGACTGGCTATAATATAAGGACTTGTTAGGCTGTAATTAAAACCTCTAGAGAAGAGTATAGCAATTAGTTTTAATTAATTAAATAGTTTGTTGTATTTTTATTAAAATTTTAATCTTAAAGAATTAGAAAAAGTACAGTATATACTTAGATGTAGCATATACTTATTAAGTATATTACTTCTTTATATCTTAAATCTAAATAATTCTCTTAATATAATAAGTTAATAAGTTATTAAATATAAATAAAATACTTATAGAAAACTATTATAACCTATATTAAACTAGGCTCTAACTATATTATATATACTAATAGTATACCTACTTATTCCTTTTTATTATATATAAATTATCTTAATTATTAAATAATTTAAGTAATCTAGAAATATAAGAATTATTAGGATTATTAGATAATCCTTATAATCTATTAATCCCCCATAGCTATATAGTTAACTAAGTAGTATATATTTGCTATATACAGCTACTTAGCTATTAATATAACTTAGTTACCTCAATTACCTTGACTCGCTACGTATTATAGTGCTTGACTATTACTAGACGTAATATTTACTCTGTAAGTGACGCCCTAACCGCTCTGCTAATATAAACCTACGGTTTATCCACCAGCAACCAATCTTTTACCTACCCTAGACCACGTCTACGGCAGACCAGAAGACACGACCGTTACAAGGACCCTTCCGAATAGGGCTGGTAAGAAACGGGGCGACAATAAATTCCCGGTTCGTTGATGCTTTTGCTTTGTGATGACGCACCACAAAGACCATCGATTTGTTATAGACATAGATGCCTCTCAGAGTGAATTCTCCATTCACGCACCACAGACTCGAGAGGTCAGGCCACCTTGGCGTTTGTCCACCTAAGCTAGACATCCCCAATAATAAGAAGTTGCACATTGCTTCTTCTTTCCGGAGATACCGGAAGACTGCTTTCCAGTCCCAATTGCCGCCTCGGGAGAGACCGTTGCGCCGGGTAGTGCATGCTCTTTCGCATAACGCGAGGTGTGCATCCTTAAGGTGATTATCTAGATGGAGCACGAACGAGAAGCCCTTTTCAGTATTCGTTATGTCGTCCTTGATTTTAGCTAGGTCAACAACGGGATCCCAGTCGTACATCAGCTCTGTACAGAGGGTTTCGGCTTGCTGGGTAATATAGTTGCCCAGGAGTCGGAATTCCGTCATAGAAACCCGAAAGGAATCCCCGTAGGAGACTGTCTGCCCATTATCGCTCCAGCGCAAGAGGAAGGCTGGCGTATCCGAACGCGCTATGACCCGACCGTAATTACGAAGGCTGATCATCTCCTCAAAGGCTGACTGAGATCCGACGACCATGTACCGCTTCCGTATTAGCTCGAGCCTCTCTAGCTGTTCGGTCCGTGGACGGCGGGAGATGCCGAGGAAAGGATATGCTCGTAGCGGGATGGCCATCTCTAGGAAGAGTAGGCGTTGAATATAAATCAGACCCGATAGGTGAGGCATATAAGATCTAGCCGGGAGAAAAGCGCGGGAAAGTCGCGAGAACCCTAGGATGCCACTGAAGTAAATGAGCAGAGCAGAGCTAGGCCGGGAATCGGTGAGAGTCTCAGTATACAAGGACAGGCTCAACCCAAGGACGAGTTCTACGAGCTGCTCAGCAGATCTCGCAGGAAGTGAACTCTAGACCTTTCCAAACACGTGCGGTTCATCATTTCCCTCCAAATCATCCTCGGCATTCTCAGCCGCCCCATCACTCATTTCCCTGGCTTCTTCCTCTCTCCAATCCGCATCAATTTCCACATCACTATCCTCCTCATCTTCAATTTCGCCCTCATCTTTCTCCTCTTGATTATCTAGCGCCCACTCTTCGACCGCATTTAAGGCGCCTGCATCACCGCCATTCTCAGCAATTGGGATACTGGAGTGTTCGGAGTCGGAACTGAGTAACGAGTCGTGGTTCCAGATCAACTCCAGAAAGTGCACTTGTTTCTTCTTCAACCGAATTCCCGTGACATTCTCCCGAACATCTGCGTCCATTCGGTATGACCGAAAGACCAGCATTAGGCAGCGCTTGAAGAGCAGCCGGTATTTTTCGTGCTCGAGGGTTGGCGTACGAGAGCAAACGGTTTTGGATAACTCGATACGGCTTGGGTGCTCCTCAGCCAACAAAGAATGCTACGACTCGTCTTTCGCGCCGTGTCTTCACATCGATCCATCAAATCGTCCACCAAGTTGACGATAGCGGCGAGTTTGAGCTCATCTCCAGCAGGGCTTACAAGATCCTCATTGAGACCGTCCATGCCGCGCCGGCCGAGAATGTGAGGTCGCTTGCCGGGATGAGACAAGGGCAAATCTGTCAGAGCTGAGAGGACGTCACGACTTGTGCCTTTGTATGTTTCGTCCCATCCCGTCCTTTCTATCCAAGGCCGCTGCTCCGCGAATGTTAAGGATGTTGTTGCGTTTTCTTGAATGATGCCCTGGTTGGTCGTGTCATCGTTTTGGCCTCGTTCACGGTCCTTGACGGACTGGAGATGGGCTTGGATGTCGTCATTGACACGAAGCAAGCTTCCTTCATATTTGATGATCCAATACTTCCGGGTTCGATTCGAGCCGGCAGTCCAAGTCTGCAGCCATACATCGTCGTAAAGTTCATCCAGTTCGCGCCGGGTGCTTCTCTTGTCATAGAGATGTGTGCTAGAAATGTGACGGCGCAGGAGTGAGAAGTTGGTGGTGCGGGTGTTGCATTTTCTGCAGACGAAACCTTGATATACTCGCAAATGAGGGTGTTCCGGGGAACCGTCGTCTAGGGGTTGCGCCTCGGTGGGATCATGAAAATAAGACTCTCCAAGGTCTTTCAGAACTCGAGTTAACCCTTTTCGCTCATCTTCATGGACCTGGGGCTTGTCTTTCAGAATAAGGCTACCGAGACTTCGGCCGCTCACGCGAATCTGCGAAGGCAGATTGCTGCTCATGTGTACTCGCACACGCTTTAACCCTCGCGGGAAATATTGATTGGGCAACGCTGCGCGTACGCTGAACCACCCAAGGTTTTGGGGCGCGCCACCAGAGTTGCACTCGCGAATTGCATTACACAAGAACCCTTCAAGGATCACATGGTAGGCAAATGTATTGCAAGCGACGAACCTATGGGTGTGAGGGCCCATTATTTGATAAGTTGAGATTGTTTTTAACTATCTCTCACACAATTCAGGGTTTAGGAACTATACATAGAAATCGATGGAATACGCAGGTTCATCTAAGAGCCCGCGCCACTACCCCAGAATGTGCTCCAACCATCCCCTTCTACATCTCCGCCAGTCCAAACCCAAACCTCGTAGAAGTTGTTACTGTTGACGGGTATATTAGTTGCGGAGACCCCCAGCCCAGAGTTAGTCCCCGAGGACTCGCCGCCGTCGGTGTACCACTGCTGCCGCTTCTGGTCAAGCACGACACGGACCAGCGAGCCATCGAGCCTGTACTCGCCAATGTAGAGACCTACAAAGGCATACGAGTGCGAGCCGGCGAGGAAATTAATTGACCAGTAATTGTACGTCGTGGAGGGATTAGCGTATACGCTCATCCTGGTCGTCGTGCTTGACGGGCGGAAGAAATTGCCTACCGCGGCGCGGGCCGCCGCGGTGCCGCCGTCGGCCGACCAGCACTCGAAGGACATATTGCCGGTGAGTCTGTCGGCGGAGACGCTGGCAGTTGCCTCGTCAGTGACCTTCTTCCAGGTCCAGTCGTAACTGAAGGGCGGACCAGCAGTCAAGTGCGGAGCCAACTGGACGGCGTCCGCCTGGTCAATATCGGCTTCAGCCGCTAGGGCCGGCGGCTTTCCGGGTGGGTTCTTCTTGCAGTGGGTCGACTTGTCACTCAAGTTTTTCACGAGGGCTTTGAGGGACTGATCGCCTTTGCCAAGGTTGCGGACGAGGTTGAAGTGGGCTTCGCGGGCAGGGCGTAGGTCCTGGCGATCGGCCAGGCCCTGTTTGAATTCTTCTTCAAATCTGGCTGAGAGTCGAGCCTTGGACTTTTCGATGAACCCAGCGGGGGGTTCCCAATCGTTGACCGAGTCCATTGTCGTGGGTTTTTGATTTCTATATGGGAGTCTGTTCGTGGGAGAGTAACTAGGTGCGTGGATGAATGGAAAAGACGCAACACCTAGAGACCTTCGCGAGCTTATATATCCATAAACAGAAGATATACATTTTAGCCCATTAGTGTCTCAACATTATTTAAGCTTCAATATATTAGACCCCAGCCGTACGCCTCACCGTAACAGAATACGAAATTTTAGCCAATAGTATATATCAAGGTGCTTCTCAACAATTAGATGGCTTTTCAACCTGATCCAAGCTGCTGCATATCGGATCCCAGCCGCACGCCTCACCTGCCTACCCCTCCCACCAGACTGCATACCTTGACTGTTATACTGGCATATGAGAGATTTTAATTGGCGGATTTACAAGTTAACGTGACTTTGATTGATTCCCAAGAGAGTAAACTCCAGAGAGTAAGGAGAGACGGATTGATATAGCCCGCTGCTTCATAGCAAAAAATACAGTGTATAGCATACGCTTTACTTTACGGGAGCTTGATAGCTCTGAGACGAACAGCGCTTCCAGACGTACAGTATGTCCCAGGCAATGAATAAGATTGTCAGGGCTTTTTCATGTGCGGACGTTTTTACTCAGCCTCTCGAATACTAGGTTTGCGTAATACAGCCCGTTTCACATGCCGGACCCTTCGCTCAGCCTCTCAGATGCTGCTTACACTCGCATAGATGAGCGGAAACTTCCTAGTCCAAAATGTTAAGGAAGTTCCCGCCAGTGGCAGGTCATTTACGGACGGAAGTCTCGCAATCTTAACATGCTTGTTCTTATTAAATGGCGATACAAAGCCCCGGCTCTAAGCCCATGGCCTTGATCTACTACTCTATCCTCCCTGTGTGTGTTCTGGCTTTGAGCGCCTTAAGCGCCTTGACTTGAATGGCGCTATGGTCGGGGATCCTGGCTTCATTCATGGAGCCGTATCTTGACTTGATCTAATATTCCATCCCTGAAGCGTCAGGGAGAGGAATACCCAAGTCCTTTTGCATTTCCCGAATTGCGTCCCTGAACCGATCTTGCTGACCTTCCAAACGAACCTTTCTGAGACCCATCGGCATGATAATGTAGGAGATTTCATCTGTAATATAGCAACTCAGATGTTCCTTAAAGCTTCTCTCTAGCCAAACATGGTATAAGGGTTTCACAAATTGGCTGACTGCTTCGGGCAAGGCCGATTGACCTCCGAGTGTATGAAACGCCGCCCATCTAACATCCAAGTCTTCATCCTTAAGCCATGCCGCCACGGCTTTTAGGATCTCTTCGGGCTCTGTAGCGATGTGGGTTAATTCGTGACGGGAGAGGTGCTTGTTGTCATGGTGGACATTTAGGCCCGTGATGGTACATAGTAACTGGCCCGGTGCATTCCTTTGTGGAAGAGGTTGAGACAATATCACATGCAAACTGAGAAGCGGATGCTTGCTGTAGGCTGAAAGACACTGCCTCCATTTACGAGTGCCGAATGGCACTTACGTCAAATGTGGTCATGGTATATGCAGGCTGAAAAGAGGTCTGAGACGAAGGTTTTCAGCTAACGTAGTGGGGAGATGAGCTTATCAGAGGATAAGAAGGCAATGGGTCGAGGTAGGATGAGTGTGACCATAGATAGCCACTTAATTCTCCGTAAATGGGTGAGCTGGATTGGCGAGACCGTGGATTAACATTTTTCTATATCATGGGGTCACTTCTCCGCTCTTGTAAGCTTATAGTGTGACGAACATTAGCATTTGCTATTTGGTCGTTCAGCCCCGAAGCTCGTAACCAAACTGATATAAACTTTATTTTTGCACTTTTTGTCTCGACATGTGAAATCGCGAAGAGATGAGGCCTGAGGGCCAGAGAGGGATCCTTGCTATCTTTGGCGTCCGCCTAGACTCTTCTAAAGTACGTTGACCCGCGAAGTGCCTTTCTCGGGTCCAACGTTATTGTGTCATGCAAGACGATGGGTAAAGCAACGGACAGATGTGATGTGGCCTTAATTCCGTTCTTTGCATGACTAACCCGTCACATGTGAGAGAACTCGTTTTCATTTCTCAGAGATCCGCAGACTGCAGAAGCCATGGTAGCTACAACTGTGGCGACTGGTACAGAGCTGATAAGCCAATGAGATTGAGCGATTTGGTCCGCGTGCGCCAGTCTATTGAAGCACGTAAGTTATGCGCCGCCTTGAGGACGACTGATACATGGGCGCCCTGCTTTGGATATTTGGGCACCTGATGGTACATCCACTGCTCAATCTGAACCCCAAGATACCATCAAAAGATCACTAAAAGAAATTTTATAAAAAGTCAGGTAAGTAAATAAATTATAGTAAGAAGGTCAATGTAATTTACCAGTTTATTATATATTATTCTTATGAGTTTACGACAAGAGTTATTTCCCTGCTTTTGAACTTCCTAGGGTGCGCCAGTCCGCTGATGTCGGAAAATTCAAACACACGAAGAGTACAAAAGCAGGGACATTACACTTCCACAAGCTTATGAGAATGAAATATAATAAAGTGGTAAAGAGGGCTAATATTTGTAAGAATAATCCATTATTTTCCCTGCACTTCATCATTTCGTTTTTAGTGGGCTGACCCTGATCCCTGTACTAAGACATCTATTGTATTCAAATTCCTCTATAAAATACGGCCCTTCAGACCGTCAGTTAGCTAGGAATCAAAAGATCTTCTACATGTTCAATTGCAATCCAACCTTCTGAGACTTGTTAACTAACACCCTGTACCCCCTCTCGTATGGCGGCAGACCAGTGGCCACCGAAGATTCTCGAAACTTAACAGCTCGAGAGATATGTACCATTAACTTCCTCTCTAAAATCTCCGCCCAATCGCTCGCCCGCACTGCATTGCCTCATGCTCTTCTTGCATGTTGTCCGATTACTTCGAATACGATCAAGTTTCTTTCGAAGACTATGTGACTACACTTGTACGTACCTTCAATTGTGCCAAGCCCGAAGTCTATAGAAACCCTAAAACCAGACTTACTCGTTTCGGTCCAGTATCTCCCGTGCGCCCCTTGTTGATCTGTTTTAACGCGGCGCCGGTCGGATCATCGGCGAGCTAACGGCGGAACGGGCCAAGGCGGAAGAGGGATTAAGGTTACACGGTCCGACTTGACGTTATGGAAATGCACCGCAAAGGAGCTCCTCCCTCATCGACGGTTGTGTATGTTTACTGGCAGACTGCCATTGGATCATCTTACCACCTCGATAATCCAACATACTCTATCTCCACAGACAGCAGTCGAGATGTATCGTCATAGGAATATCCCGGCAAAGGCAATGATTGTCACTTCCCCTGCAGCTTGCATGTGATAAAAAGGCTGCTCACGGAGACAGCCGTCTCCACGAGCATAACTGGGTAAGTGGGGCTTCTTGGAGAACCTCAATGACGAGTATTTTTACTGCATGGAGCCGGTTGCAGTGACAATCCTGGTCCCAGGTAGCCTGGTGGTTGGGAACGAGTTGTCAACACCTGAGGCAAGATACTGAACCAATCCTTAAAGTTCAGCTAATTTTCGTGGTCGGCGCTTGCTTCGGAAAGTGCCGTTGTCAAGCCGTATGAGTGACAGCTTGCCGATCAAATCGTGCATATGGAAAGTTCCGTGCACCTCGGCTCATGCTTGGGGCTGGCGTCTTCCCACAAGGTCGGCGGCCGAATTGAGTTGAATTGAGGCCTCAATTCCTCAATTCCTCAATTCAAGCTGGATTGAACTGCGACTTGAATTGTGGCCTGCGCCGAAGTCGTCAGACGTAGCTCAGGAGCTCTCGTCCCGTCGATCACTTCCGTCTCTACGGAGGGCTCTTTCAAAAGTCATGTCCTGGCGCTAGTTTAAAACGGGAAATCTGACGGCTGTGGCTGGATTAGGTACATTAAGTACTTCTTCTGGTGTCTTATCCACTAAAGGCTGCTAATTTTATAGCAGCTTATACTCACTACATGACATGCTGGTCCCCCTATAACCCCTAAAACTGTAGAGGACATAGCAGCTAACTCATTGTGGCTAGATTCCACACATTGTATCTTAGGTAACTGACAAGGACTGAGGGATGTGGCGCATTTAGCGTGAGACATGACTTTTGAAAGAGCCCTCCGTATGAACGTGCGTGACGAAGAGACAGCACGGCAACTTCCGATGGCCGCAAGACTCGTGTCCCCTCGGTGAGATGTTAGAATCACATGCGAATCCAGGCCATAGGCCCACAAATCTCTGTCATCCTGTTTTTGTGCAAATTCGTGACGAATGTGATGCCGTCTTCAGCCTCTTCCGTCGCAGAACGTAATACTGACGAACAGATAGTGCTCTGGCTTATTCCGCCCGGACATGCCGGAAACGGCTCTCCGGCCCTGCAACACACAACAAGCTAGCCGGAAAGGAGCCACATATCAGGCCGCTGATCGCCCATGATATTCATTGCAGCACAGCCTTTTCAGACCTGCCACTGCGACTACCAATAGAAATACACCGCAGGTAACTTCACACATGACTGGCATATACAAAGCTATCGAGCAAAGGCTGTGGAAGAAGGATGCCGTGCGATTGGACAAGATGTCTGAGGGGGATGCCCTATCGGCTCGACCAGCCGAGATTGAGCGGAGTGTCCAGACTGAGATTGCGCTTGTTGAATGCTTTGCATTTAACGGCTTGCACAGCGACGTAATAGACTTCACACCAGGGCATCGAGACAAGATAGTCAATCTGTTCCCACTGTCGGATTTGACACTCGATGAAACACTCGCACGACTCTCTTTCCTGCGGACGTCAGACCCATCAAAGATTGAGGGCAGAAACTACCACTTTATACATCTGACCTTCCATGCTTTGCAATCAGGATCCCGGGGAGGGATATTTACAACTCGAGGTGGAACGATATTGTTTCATGTCCTGCTATGGTACGCACTGATCAGAGTAAATTGAACCAACCACTTCAGCTCCTCCCTCCTTCTCTTCTGCCAAAAAGGGTGGTCGGCCACCTCCTTTAGTTTTGGCTGAGAGCTCGTTCAAGGTGAGCATTTCAACGGCTTGAGAAGACCACCGATCTAGACGTGATAAACCCAAAGTATCGTCCGGGGTTTTGTCTTTGTCCATTAACATCATCGCCAGCCTGCAGAAAGAGTCAAGAAACTTTTTCATCTCTCACCCTTGCGACAAAGCTCTATGTCGCTCATCTTGATCTCGCCAGCCAAATTGATCAGGATACTAGCGCAGGAAATCTTTTGATGAATGAGCCCATTACCCATCAGATATTCGGATCCAGACAGCGCCTAATCACACGTTCAGTCGTCTGCTTCTGCTCTTACGAGCCCTTTCTCCCATGCGATATGTACACAGACAGCCGTCCTTGGCCGTTACTAGGGCGTCTGCAAGTAATCGGGCAGCAGAACAGCTGATAGCAGGTCGCTCACATGCCAATATACCAAATGATGAACAGCTAAACCCTCGACGACCTCCATAACCTTTACTGGGAGAGCCCATGCGTGCGGCTGATCAGGTGGGTGGTACCAAAATTGATGAGCGGCTGCACTGGTTTAATAATACTAGCTCGATGCCCTGCATACACGAGCTTCGGCAAACTCCGGTGCGATTAAGGTGGTACTCGTCAGCACTAAACCCATCCTTTGGTGAACTCGAAGTTGCAGGAGTGCTGGCGGAAACTCGACGTCATATGAAGCCGAGAGCGAGAAAATGTCTCTACAAACGAATGATGGAGAAGTTATAATGGCGCAGCACCGCATTTCGAACACAGCTGCATACGTAATGCAGCCAAAACCAATATCAGCCTAGTTGGGTTCTGATTACGGTCAGCCAGAGACCCTGGCTATTCCTGGCAGGTGCAGTCAAAGCTCCTGAGGCATTTATCATTCAGCTATAGTTATGTTCTTCTTAGCTCTGTTTATTCTTGCCTGGCCGGCTTGCTGATTACGAAGCGTGTAAATAAGAATTGGGAAATATAAGCAACATATTAATACTATTAAAATCTTTCAGCTTATACAGAGACTTGCTATAGCGTAGTAAACCTATCCGGGCGGCATAGACTTTTATGGCTTCGGGACTTTCCGATATGTGATGCGATTGCAGTAGTGAGCTGCGGGAGAATCCCGAATAAGATAAACCTACAAGACCAATACCCAATTATATTTATCATAACTTAATTTGTCTCAGCCGCAACTGTTAACTACTAAAACTTGAAGCTTCGTCGGTTCGTCAATCGTCACCTACCTAACTTAAAGCTGAGCTTTAGCTCTTGACGGTACGTATCAGTTCCTTATTGAGGACCGGTGAGATGGCTGACAATATACTTGTAATTCTACCCGGCATTTTCCGCGTAGCGTCGTAGCTAAGAGATAAGAGAACGCTCGTGTTGAGCTGAGGTGTCGTGGACACGCGCTCATCGATCGTAGCAGCCTCGGGCAACGGATATGCCATTCCCTAGGAGCAAGCCACGGCGCTCATTAATATTTCTTTCCCGTTCCGAGTCAATTAGACATTAGTAGGCACCCCGTGATTCCCGTGAAGGCAGCGGGATCTGGAGAGGACCGTCCGCTAGTCTGCGCACATCAAGGCTCTCTCTCACAAAGCAGCTTCGCCGGCAGATCTTTCTAGCCTGCCGGCATGAGATTAAGGTTCCATAGTTAGCGTTAAGGCTGAGATAAATATAAGTCATGTTAAATATAATTAGATATTAGCCTTATCTATCTTATTCTGGACTAGACTTAAGAATTAGATACAGAGAAATACTTTCTTTTTGCATTAAAGTGGATTCCGAAGGTCTTATAACTTAGTCGACATCTTTTGCATCATCTCATCTCCACTTGTCAGTGTTATTTTGCTTCAAATCATCCATCTCGTCGTCTATCTTACGATATTTGTCGATCGCTGGCCAATCAGAATTTCGCGGCCAAAACTCTAGATTCCCGGTGTGGCAGTATATGCTCAGAAACACCGCAAATGCTGTGCCCTTCATGCAAATGCACACATTCGGACTATTATATATTTAGATACGAGCTGCTAAAAGACACGTGAAAGTCTGGCTACAATACGGTCGAGTAGAATAAAGAGGTCAACAGACTCCGTGGACGACAATAATTCGTTTCATCCATCAAAGCAACAGACACCTCACACCTCAACTTCCAACGCGCCGAATACTTCAGAGCCCTTATTAATATCCTCCCACTCCCCTTCTTCAATAATAATCTTCAAGAAATATGGAGTCCGACTTGGTGGAGGAGGTCACACCTCAAGAAACCGAGTCTCAACTCGTGGTCATGTTCAAGACCGCATCGCTGGTCAAAGTCAATGGTCGTGGCTTGGAGACTGTGAGCGAAGATGTCGCTCCGGTACAAGCCGTGCTCGACCGCCACCGTGCATCGCTGAAACTCCTCTTCGGCCAGGACGAGAATCGTCTCCGTCGCGAGCAAGAGGAAGTTCTCAAAGCTTCTGTCCAAGAGGGAGAACCATCCCCGCCCACCGGAGGACTGTCCGGGGAAGAGCCATCTGGTCAATCGGCGGGCGGGAATTTGCCTGATATGGCCAGTTTCTATTACGTCGATGGCCCTGTCGAGAATCTGGAGAGTCTTGCGGCAGAGCTCAACGAGCAGGATCTGATCGAGGCAGCATATATTGCACCGCCCGCATCTCTACCGCTGCATGTTCAGTCCATCCTCCTCCCCCACGCCATGGACGTTCCTGGTCTAACGCCTGATTTTACACCGCGTCAAATCTATCTCGGGCCGGCGCCAGCAGGAATTGATGCGAAGTTTGCGTGGACAATCCCTGGAGGCAAAGGCGAAGGCATGAGAATTATTGACTGCGAATGGGGATGGCGGTTCACGCATGAAGATCTGAAGATGCTCCAAGGTGGAGTTGTCGCTGGCACAAATTCCACCGACGTTCGCTTTGTTAACCACGGCACGGCCGTATCTGGAGTTATCAGTGGAGATGTTAACAACATTGGAATTCTCGGTATTGCACCAGATGCCGTCTTCTATGGCTCGTCCTTCGTTGGGCAAACACCCGCTACCGCCATCAAAGCGGCCGCTGATAGGCTCCGGAGAGGGGACGTTATACTCCTTGAGATCCACAGACCGCATCCAAAGACGTCAATTCCGCCCCAAGGCCAGAAGGGCTTCATTGCAATTGAATGGTGGCCAGCCGAATATGCCGCCATCCGCTATGCTGTCAACAAGGGCATTGTCGTGGTTGAAGCTGCGGGCAACGGGTCACAAAACCTCGATGATCCAATCTACAACGTACGCCCCACGGGCTTCCCCACTTGGTGGCGAAACCCTTTCAATCTGCAGAATCCTTCCTCCGGTGCAATCCTTGTTGGCGCCGGATGTCCTCCGCCAGGAGTTCATGGACGGAACCATGGCCCTGACCGCTCTCGCCTCAGCTTTTCCAACTATGGCTCTCGGGTCGATTGCCAAGGCTGGGGCCTAGAAGTCACTAGCACCGGATACGGTGACTTGCAAGGCGGCATGAGTGAAGACCTGTGGTATACAGACATATTCAACGGTACATCGAGTGCTTCTCCAATGGTTACGGGCGCGGTGTTGTGTGTCCAAGGCATTAGGAAGAAGAGAGGCAGACGATTTCTTACTTCCCCGGAGTATCGAGGGCTATTGCGGCAGACGGGCTCGCCGCAGGAACCTGGTCCAAGCGCACCAATTTCGCAACGAATCGGGAAACGGCCAAATTTGAAGCAACTTATTCCCACAGCTATGAACATTCCCTGACAGGATTACCCCTCTTTCGAGACCTAAACAGGTCATGGTGTGATCCGTTCGTTGGATGCAGGTTTCATGTTTATCGCGATTTTTCCACCACAGCAGTTGAGGAGATTCTTTCTCTCTCCTTGGAAGATCCTCCAGAATAGTGATTCTCAGCAGTTTAGCTGTTCTCCACACTCCTTAGATGTTCGAGGATAACCGTCGGAGGAGGCTGATTACGTCTAGAAGGCTCTATGGCCACGATGTCCGATTTAGATCACGATGAGATGTCGTTACCACAGGCCTGAGATTTGGCTTGATCACTTGGTTGCCTTTTGGTTCTTGTTGGAATAGTCGGCGAATCTGTACTGTCGTTATCCTCTCGGCATTGGTTTTCCCACTGGGTTTTCCCAATGTCGTTACGCAAATGCGGAGGGGGCTAGGCTACACTCATTCAGAACATGTGTCTACGCTTTGTAACTATGCATGGGCGCCCATAACTCATCAACAGTCGGGGAGATAAGATCGCCATCACTATCCAGATATTTATTTGGATATAGCCTAGGGGAACAGGGCGGCTCGATGGCCGGGCCGGCGATGTGATGATCCTAAGGACGTATTAGAGTAATACTACATAGCTCAGCACGACGTACCTGTTTCGGCATTCTCGACCTCTTCCCCTGCTTCTTTTGTATCTTGTATGATGACCCCCTTGACCACTTTGACGGCTTCTTCGTGCTCTTCCTTTTCCCGAGGCTTCTATGTTGTACTGCTGGCATGGCCAGACTGTCTTTGAGGGGACCCGGGTTGGAGGCTCGAAAGGTATTGTTCATAGCTTGTGGGACTGTTCATTACAGTCGAGGTTCTAGGCGTTTTACCTTCTGGGAAGAACGCAGGGCCCCATTCTGTCTCGCGACCGTTGTTTGGCTCGTGAGTTTGATGCTGATCTCTTGGTTCCTGGAAATCTGCAATATGCGCTGCACTTCAAGTCAGAAACTTCTTGTAGGAACCCGATAGGGAGACTCCGTTGCTGACCTTCGTCATCCTGGTCGCTCGCGGTTCCTAACGTCCTGCCCTGCACCTTATATTCCGTGCAGGCAAACGCGTCTGCGCATGTAATCCCCTGCGAGTAACGTCACTCCGCTGCCATGACCGCTTCCTCTGACACTCTATTTTGGTGCTTATGGGCGTCAGCAGGATGGATGGTGCCGGCTGGCACGCCGACGAAGTGGAAGTCCTCCGTTGTCTCCGCCACTAGCAGGATCCCCGCCGGCGGGCCAAAGTGGAGGATGGTGTTGGCGTTCATGCGATGGCCCGAGTGAGCCTTATCGAGAATAACGTCCAATACCGTGTAGCTGGCACCGTTGACCAGCTTCAAGCCTTGGTGGATGTTCGAGTTCACGACGACGGGCATGCCAGGGACGAATATGAAGATCGCCGTCACCGGTATGGCGCTATCATCCAGGCACCGATGGTCGGTGAAAGCTCGCAGTTACTAAATGTTGAGGGACGCCCCGAACCTTATTTCTTTCTAGGCCGAGCTTACTACCCGTCATCCCTAACCCCCATATCACCATACGAAAAAATAAGTGCCAGTCAAACCAGTCGGAGGCCGGAATAAGACACAATTTGCAGAGTCGCTCTCATGAACATTCACTGACAACTACATTTCTTTAAGGTTATGAACGTGACTTGCAGAAGGGCTTATAATGAAAGCGTCATCGTGCCAAACATGGAATTGCGGAGTGCTGTCAGCAACTACCGTATAAATGATGCGAAAAGGGTCGCTAGTCACGTAAGTGAGGGTCTCATGAAGATGTGTAAAGAAGGTTGATTCAGCTATCTTATAGTTGAGGGCTCGGGACCGTAAGGGTCCCGGCCCACGTGACCGCACAAGGCCTGATGCCTCAGGCCCGACCCTGAGCATGAGGCTCAGGATCGGTCTTTCCGTATCAATAAACTCGGTTAACTCTCCCAAGTAGCGCCTCCACTTTATCTCCATATTTCCACTGTTAACTGCAAAAATGTGCAGAAGTGTCCATGAGTAACTGATTTCATTGGTTGCCCTTTGTTTTTATGGGGGCCGCTACTTGGGCGAGATAACTGAGTTTCTACGGTAATGTACATTGCGTTAGACGAGCCATTGAATGTAACGGAATGTGCGGAATGTTCAATTTAACCACTACTACTTCTACTACTACTACTACCACCAACTTGCCGATGTCGCGTCTTGCTGTCTGGAGAGGATGCCCCGGTCTAAGATATAGCTCGCCTCATAGTTTACACACTTCCTGAAGGTACCGGAATTCCACCTCCCTGTGTGAGAGGATTGAAGCTCTGGTCTCGTGGCAGAGGCGGCAGGATCTGGCTCACCCAAGCAATGACCTGTGGCGCACCAAAGCTGATCTTGCAACCTGTAGCAGTCGAATGAACTTGCATACTCTGCTCTGTGGCAGATTCATGGAAGCTGCTCGTCACCGACCAGGGCCCATAGCCGACTGATGCACCGCCTGAGTTACTGTGTGAATCAAAGTGCTCTTCTATGTGCTTCGTTGCACCTCTGAACTCAATGGTGGTGTCGGCGGCGACGATGAACGATGTTGGGTAAGACGGAAACTGGCTCCACATGGCAATATCCTCGGCCTTCTGGTCCTTGATCATCTGCTGAAGAAGAAGTGGACCGGGGCTGAGCTTGACTCCCTCTGCGACCTCGAGGTCGACGTCGCTGAAGAGCTCACCATACAGCCACGGGCGGTTAATGTTCACGACGAGGGCCGAGAAAGAAACGCTAACGTCGCAGGCTGCCATATCGCTCTGCATAGACTTGTGGGACTCGTCGTGGGAATAGGACCCCCCGACTGACCAGAGCCCAAAACCCACCGAACCTCCGACCTTCATACCCCACTCAGACTCTTTCGAATGATTTGATACATCAGAGGCTGAGTAGGAAAACGTGATGGTGGTCCACGGGTCTGCATCCTCCGCACTCGCCGTCGGCTGGCCCCCGTTGCCACCAGGAGCCGCCGGGGACTTGAATACTGGATTGGCCAGTTCTGAGCCTTTGGTGGCTAGTGCCGTTCCATTGGGAGTGTCCTTGTCCTCATCGCCATTTGGAGCTGTCACGCCTGAGATCACAGGTATCTCGACCGGATTCTTTTCAGCCTTGCTGGTGCGTAGTGTCTTGAGCCGCGCTAACTCTTTCTGGATTGTATCCTGTTTTGTACGGAACCAATTCTCCGCATCAGCGAGGGTGGTATCTTCCAAAACCATGCGGTTGTATTCATTCCAGCTTTGCCGAGCAGCGTGGTCTGCGTCTTCTGCTGCCTTGAGGTGCTTTTGGGCCGCAACAACAGCTTCTTGTGCTTCTTTGACCCTTTTCTCAGCTTCTTCGATATCTGTTGGTTTGGAGGCCTTGTCGCCTTGAATCTGTTCGAGGTTGTACTTGGCACCAGATAAGGTCGCCTGTGCCTTGTACAATGCCGACAGATTGTCAGCGACGTCCTTTTTGGTATCCTCTAAGTTGGCCTTTGGCTTGGTCGCGCCTGCAACTGGGTAGAGTTTATCGCCGTGCTCGAGATATACCTTCTCCTTTACCAAGGTGTCTGCCGACTTGTAAGACTCCAAGAGACTCTCAAGTCTGGCGATCTCGCGATCGAGCTGGGCCAGGGTATAGCTCCCGTTACGCTCATACCAGCCCTCGGCTTTGCGTTTGCAGTAGGTGGCCCACCGACGGGGTGTAAGACTGACGCCGTAGACCTCAGCAGCGCCGTTGGCGTCGGGAATCGTCGAGTTTCGCAGGGATTCTTTGCTGGATTCGATGCGGCTCATGATCGAATCGATGTCGATCATGCCAAAGTTGAAGTCCACGTCGTATTTTTGACCATTGACAACCCAATCCATCCAAGCGGCTTGTATGCTGGCCTTAAAGGTAAAGTAGTTTTGCTGGTTCCAATCATTCAGATACTGCTTCTGCTTGCCGATAAAGTCGGGGCCAGATCCGGGAGGGTACATTTCCGCGGCTCGCTCTGCATCCAAAGTCAGCAATTTAGCCAGCAAGATATGTCGAGACGACCCTGTGACTTGTGCGAATCCAAGGGAACGTTTCTTCTACTGTTCAGAAAGGGGAGTCTCACTTGCAGCATCGATTTTGGCCGTGTCCCAAGCAGACCGTTCCTTTGCCCACGCCATTTGCTTATCGCGGTAGACTTCGACAACAGTTCTCGTGGACCCTGGTGCTGCGGTCTTGAGAAAATTCATGGCTTTGTCGTAATTAGGGTTTCCAGGGCTCCTGATGCCATCTGCACTAGAGATCGTGGCCTTGGCCGGGAGCAATGCGTCAAGCGAGCGCGAATAGCTGCGGGCAACGCTCTTGCCCGTGTTTCCAATCTATGAAGCGTGAGATGGGCCTCGTCGACTACTGCTGGTGTTATACTTACCATAATCGTTGCAACGGGCATCATGCCATCGACCAGACTGGCCTCGGACTGTCTGACAGTTGTTGGCGTAGTTGTGTATTTGGCATCATAGACAAAAGAGCCCCCTTTGTCATAATCGGCCAGGTCGATTACCGTTCCGGGAATCGCAACGGTCAAATACTGCTCCGGCGCAACTGGAAGGGCAGCGGCGATAGCATTTCGCAGAAGCGTGCTCACGCTCGCAATGGAGGCGATGGCATCTTTCTGAACGTCCTCAAGCTTGGCGGGCATGGTTGGATTCTGAAGAGATATTGTCGCATCGTAAGATTGTTGTCCTCTTTTCAACGATATCGACGGGACTGGAAGAACTCACATGAGTAGGTGTAGATATTTCGGGAGAAGATTAATTACAATTATCAATGAAGTGAAAGTAGGGGAACTAGTTAAGATTGATTATATGAGAATGCCGCTTTCCGAGGCCGGAAGTATATCCCACCTTCATTCGTGAATTACTAGGAACGGGTGGATATACTTATACGAGAACGACGTCGCACCGAGGCCTGCAAAAGCCTTTGGAGGGGGGGGGACCATGGTTTCGGTGTCGATGCACAATCTATTGGCATTGCATGGTAGGTCGACTCAGGTTTCCGACTCAGTGCCCTCTCATAGTCGAGGCCACCACCCAGAAAAAATTACATGCAATTTTACGATCATCCTGAACCCTGTTGTATTTTAGGCTTTCCTATAATGGTTGGTGGCTATGAGCTGTCGCCCTCTGGTGGTTTGACTGGCGCAGCCCACCCAGATAGAGTTCGAGTAATCGGGCCGTTGTTCCTGTAGTGACCGGTAGAGGAGTTTTCACAAGCGTCACCAATTTGTGCGTCTCGTAGTCGCCATTCCTACTCGCGAGAGGTCCACGGAGATACAATTTTGTTGGTTTCTTGGAGTGGCAGGTCGTTCCCATATATATATTAAATTGCGTAGGTATAAGAAATATATTCGAAGACTTTGTGAGGCTAAAGCCCTCGATATAGGTATCAATGGACGCTTGAGATGAGGATATTCTCAAAGTTCGAACGTTCTGCATGTCCATTGCTAGCCGATTTTTCAACGAATGACGTGGTGATCCTGATCCTGGTTCGATGACGAGGTCGATGACGCGGGGAAATGGGGAATGGAAGAATTCCTTGGAAGGATAATGGTTGAAAGTGTGGTCGCATATGAGTCCGCTTGTGTCGACAGCCTGGAACCGACTTTCGCTAGACCTTGCACTTAACAGTCAGCAGCACTTCCGGCATGTGATTCCAGGATAGAGTTGCAAGTGTTAGATATGCCTCCACATGCGGGTTGCACTAACTCTACAATGATTCAGCCGAAGGCTGACTCTACATCAATGCTTAAGTTTGCCTTTCGGTACGAAAGGTCTTCTTAAGCTCTGGGATTCTTCCCCCCAAAATTTGGCCCCCCCCTTGCAAAATTACCGGATTAAGTAATGGGGCCCAATAGGTGTACGGGGCCCCGTACATTTAAAATTGTACGGGGCCCCGTATGCATTATGTAAGCGTTGACGGCTACTACCAAATGCGCCGCGCGCCTCCTTTTTGGGATGCCCCTCCAGCCTCCTTGCTACTCGGATAGCTATCCTTTATCTGGCTAAAATACAGCCAATTAAAGTGGCTAATCGATTTCCAGATAACTGCCTCCCTCCTAAAGGCAACTATAACTCTCGAGATGCCTTATTCAAGGCGATCAACGCCTGGGCAGCTCTACGAGGCTATGCCTTTAGGACTGGAAGGTTAAAGAAAGAGAGGACTGGAAAGCTTATACTTATATTTACTTATAATCGTACCTGCCGCCCTCCAAGTGCCTTTAAGGAACAGCAATAGTATATAACTATATAAAGTACTAGCTGCTAATTCTCTATTCTAGTAAAGTAAAGTAGTAACCTAGCTATATAGGCTTTAAGATATTATTTAGATAGCTAATTTGCTATCTATAACTATAAGCTAAGCTGGTATTAGTTTGCTTATTCAGTATATTATATACTATTTAATATAAATATATTAATAATTAACATACATAATAAGCAAGTGCACAATACAAGCGAGTGCACAATTTTTCTTCTAACCGCCCTCTTCCCTCTTTTAACTCCATTTTTTCAACTACGCATTATGTCGTCAATAAGTAATGAGGCAAATATCAATCTTGCCCTTTAAGCCCTTCAGAAAGACCCTCAATTAACTCCCTACCGCGCCTCAAAGATCTATAAGGTCTCTCGCCATACTCTACTACGCCGACGCGCCGGCATTACTTCGCGACGCGATACTATGCCCAATTCGCGTAAACTATCTGATCTAGAGGAACAGACTCTTCTTGAGTATATTCTTGACCTAGATTCGCGAGGGTTTCCCCCGCGACTGAGCGGTGTGGAAGAAATGGCCAACCGATTGCTCGCCGACCGCGACGCGTTACCTGTCGGCAAGCGCTGGGCTTCTAACTTCGTCAGGCGACAACCAGAGCTTAAGATGCGTTTTTTTCGTAAATACGACTATCAGAGGGCTAAATGCGAAGATCCAACCATTATTCGCAATTGGTTCCGGCTTGTAGAGAATACAATCGCAAAATATAGTATCGACCTAGCCGATATCTACAACTTTGATGAGACCGGCTTTATAATGGGCATAATCGCAAGCGGAATGGTTGTTACAGGCGCAGAAAGGCGTGGAAACCCGAAATCAGTTTAGCCTGGAAACCGGGAATGGGTCACGGTCATTCAGGCGATTAATGCAGAAGGCTGGGCGATCCAGCCATTTATCGTGGTTGCAGGCCAATATCACCTCGCTAACTGGTACCAAGAAAGCAACCTCCCGGGCGATTGGGCTATTGCAACGACTCAAAATGGCTGGACTGACAATAAGACGGGTCTTGAGTGGCTTAAGCATTTTGATCAGCATACAAAGGATCGATTGATCGGTCGCTATCGTCTTCTAATCCTCGATGGGCACGAAAGTCACCACTCTGTCGACTTTGAGAAATATTGTGAGGAGAATCAGATTATTACGCTTTGTATGCCGCCTCATTCGTCTCACCTACTTCAGCCTCTTGATGTCGGGTGCTTTGGGCCGCTTAAAACAGCCTATGGTCGAGCAATTGAGCAATTGATCAGATGCTCTATAACCCACATTTCAAAGACCGAGTTCTTCCCAGCCTTCTACGCTGCCCACGCAGCCGCTATGACAAGGAGTAATATTAAAGGAGGTTTTTGAGGAGCTGGACTTGTTCCCCTAAACCCAGAAAATGTTATATTGAAGCTTGATGTGCAGCTACGGACTCCAACACCGGCTGTAGAGGAGGTTGGCCTCCCCGACTCTTGGGTCTTAAAGACCCCAAAGATAGTGCTTGAGGCCAGTTTGCAGTCTGAATATCTTAAAAGACGAATGAGAAGGCATCAGAGTAGCTCTCTAGTATTAATTCTCGAGGCGCTTAAGTTACTTTTAAAGGGAACAAAGGCAATAATGCATCAGAATGCTCTATTGAAAGCTGAGAACCAGATCCTTCGACAGGCAAATGAGACTCTTAGCAAGCGGCGTAGAGTAAAGAAAACCCGCCTATGTAAAGGAGGGAAGATGACTTTAGATAAGGGCAGGGGTGAGATAGATCAGAGAGACGTTGATGCACAGGTAGTAGCTGAATCGTTGAGAAGTAGTGGTCGAGGGAGGTCAGCAATACCGAGGGAAAGGCGCTGTGGAACTTGTGGAAAGGCTGGTTATAATGTAAGGATCTGTTAGACTATAATTAAGACCTCTGAGGAAGAGTATAGTGATTAGTTTTAATTGATTGATTGTATTGTTGTGGTTTTATTGAGGTTTGAATCTTAGAGGTTAGGAAAAATTGTGCACTTACTTGTATTGTGTACTCGCTTATTATATATATTAGAAGTTTTATAAATATAAAGATAATACTAAAGAATATTAAGACTTATATCTATTAAAACTTAAATACTATTATAATCTAATAAGATATTTATAACTATATTATAAAGAGTAAGTAATAGCTCTATAAGAAGTAGAGTATAATATATACTCTTACTAACTAATTAAATAAAAAAGAATTCTAAAACTAAATATAGCTTAATTTAGATAACTGGGTTACTATAGTATTATTTACCTATTTAAAGTTATTAGTATATTTTAAAGCTTATCTAAACTTACTCTTTTTAAATTATATATATAAGATAAATAAATATAGGATATTACTCCTTAATATTATTAGTATTAATACCTACTAGTAATTATTCTATATTATATTTATATTTCTTAGTAGTAAGAATAAAAAGAACTATATCTAGGCCTTAAACTAGCTTTAATTAATATATAAGCTTTATAATATAAGGCTTCTATCTATTATTCTTATAAATTGCTATCTTACTTATATAAATACTATAGCTTACTGCTTTCTAGCTACAATCTTACTTTTATACTTCTAGTATACTAATAAAACAGTTCTTTAATATTACTAGCTAAGCTTTATATACTATACCTAAAGACTCAAGGCTTATTAAAATAGTTTTAATAATTAGAGTAAGTTTTATAATTACTAGTATTTAATTATAGGATTAATTAATAAGAATATCTTTAATAAGTATCTTTAAGAGCTTAAAAAGTATTATATACTAGAATATATTAAAGAGGTTAGCTATATTAAGAAAACTTAGCTTAATTTTTATAAGGAAAAGCTTATTAAGGCCTAGGTTAATTAGTATTCTTATTTTAATAATATAATTACCTTATAGGTTAAGAGTATTTATATACTATTAAAAAGCTATTTAAAGAAATTAATATTAAATCTCTTTAAGGCTTAAAGAGTTATAAAGTAAGTACTGCTTAATTAACTAGCTAAGCTATAATTAAACTAAGCTAAATAGTAAATATATTTGCTAATTAAGCTTTCTAGGGTACTATATAATACTATATATAGCTAGATATCTTATAAGACTTTATAAAAAGTTAAAGAATAGTAAAAGCTTCTTTTAAAAAAAAACCTACCTAGATATACTAGTGTATTTTCTTACTTCTATAGTCTTCTATATACTTATATACTTAAGGCTCTATAAGAATAAGATTAAACTCTTTATTTAAAATACTTCTATATATACTAGTATCTTAGCTATAGTAGAAGCTTTTAATTACTACTTAAGCCTTATTAATATATTAATTAAATAACTACTAGCTTAATTAAGCTATAATTAAGTACTTATCGGGAGCTTAGTATATTTAAAGCAGTTAAGATAG